TAAACTAGCCTATGTACCTGTTCCCCTGTGTGTGCTACGGGCGGCCAGATCAGTCTACATGTATCACGTTTAATGACATGTGTTCTTAGAAATTGAGTCTTTGCGCCACAAAATGGTGGATTTGCCTGTGACACAAGGTTGTGGTCGCGGGGTGTTTTTCTACCTAAGCCATTGTCATTGATACAGAATCTACTCATCTTTGCTTAAATGAAATTTATACCAAAATACACTGTACTTGTCTGACAATAAAAAGTATTTTGAAAATCGTGCTTGGATAGCGTTGTCACGTATATTGTTGAAGACATTACACTTTAATAGAAACTTGAAGAGTATTTTTTTACTATAATAAATTATTATTAACATATCCACGCGATTTATTTACACTCATACCTTTGTACACTTCCTTCTGGACCTCTGAGACCTCTGTGTGCTACAGCTGGTCAGTTCAGCAATCCTCGGATCTGTGTTCTTTAGAAAAGATGTCTCGGCGACACAAAATGGCGCATTACATGAAAAACAAAAAATTGCGGATTAAACCATCAAACGAGTATGTAGTCGTTCATGCCTTCCTCTACCTCGGCGGGTATTTTTCTACCTCACCCATTGTTTAATGTTTTGCGTTATTGTATTTTGTTTACCCGTCAGCTCACAGGGAATGCGCACAATGCCCCCCAGACTGATTTATTTTATTTGCCACTTAGAATAATTAGATTAAGTCTCTAGATCTTTCTCTTTCTCTCTTAAAGCTTTACTATACTAGTACAAAGCTTGTCTCAGTTTTCACTTTACGTCAGGTTTTTTTCTTTTCAAATGCCATATGTTTGTCTCCATTTTGATTAAATTGTAAGCGCACAGGGAATGTACACAATGCGATCAGAAATGTGACTGCATTTATTATTTTGCTCCTATTCAAAATCGTGAGACCCCGCCTTTCATACTCAATTGACCTTGAAGTTAAGCAAGACTTTTAAATCAAGTCACCCCGGCTTTTCTCGCTATTTCCATATTGCTCCCCCCCCCCCACACACACACACACATTCATTTAGTTTAACTAATAACAGGCAGTATACTTGTAATACTCTTTCTAAGTCACACTATATCTACATCTCTGGTGTACATGCACCGGCCTGACAATTGCCTTGGACGATGACACACGCCGCAGACTGGTTCTGTATAGAGACTATATACTGTCTCGGTGTAAATTAAGTACATAAAACTTTTAGGAGAGGAAAACTGGAAGACGAAACCATTTTAACTATAATATGTATGGCACGGCGCTGAAAAAGAACTGTCTTGTCACAATATGCTTGATATATATATACAGACTTNTGCATGCAAAATTTCAAATTCTTCTATGCAGTAGTTGCCGAAATATGGATACTTTTTTGACAGAACCAAGCTTTGCCTAAGCCAAGCTTTGATCAGCCCAAAGGAACACTACCCAATTAAATCACTGCAAATTACATAATGTAGCAGCGCAACAGGCATGAAAGTCAGTTAATTGGTAGTGACACACCTGACTGCACACTTTTACATTCACAAATCTTATATGAGATCGGAGTTTTTTGAAAAAAGAACGTATTTTTATCTAGGTATACCTTCGAAACTAAAATATTCCATATTAAATGTCAAGTCTGTATATGCATGATGTTGATATGTGATTTTTGGGGGGGGTGTAGAGGGGGGCTAGAAGGCGGTATTTCAGAAGCTGCGGGTGGGGCGCATGCCCCTAGTGTCGAGCCGGGGCCGAAATTACTGCTTGGTGTGGTAAACATGTTACAGAAACTCGAATGCATTATGGACCGGTGAGACAGGAGTGGTATTCCGAGGAATTAATCCCAGGGTTCCAATACGGTTAATACAGGTAAGGGTTAGTCGGATAATACGTGGATCAGTATATGGGGCAAATGCGTGAAAAACAGAACACTGAACATAGTTTCTCGAAGATAATTATCCCAGTCACAATGTCAATAAATAAGTAGATCCACTAGTGACTGCCACAAGACAGAAAGTAGGAGGGAACAGTGCAAGTACATCAAGCAAACTCCTTAACTACTGCACATGGTTCTGGAGATAATGAGCTGTAATTTACAAGGGAAACTAATTAATTAAATAAATGCTTTTTATCATTCATTCACATTGATCAATTTTTATCAATATAATAGTGATGCTCTTGAATGTGTACCAACTAATTCGTTGCCGATAGCACCAGCAGATAGCAGCACCATACAGAGTCTGATTAAAAACTTTCATGGCAATTGAAGAAGTTTTACCACTGTACAATGGAGTCCAAAAAAGCACTTGGCACAAATGTGAAACTGCCCAGTGCAAGGCCAAGAATTCAATCAGTATTTTCAATCATATTATCAGATTCTACATGGTTACTTGAACACACATGGTTGTGAAGACGGTATAAATTTACAAAATGCAACAGAAGACACGTGTGATTTTGTAGAAATGGTGCAAAATGATATCTACGCCTCCAACTTTGATCTCGAAGACACAGAGACCATGGTGCAGAATTCCAGCTGTGATATAGGAGGTGACGGCACGGTAGATAATGAACTGTATATTTACATGTACAGTGAATAATGAATTGTCTCGCAAATTGCACAAGCATCCCTAGCTTGATCATATAGGATTTGTAAACGCACAACAATCTTCAGATCTCTGAATAAACATCCAGATATCAAAAACATGATTTCAAGTTAAACACGGGTTTTGCACTGGCCGTTGAACGTGTCTGTAGAATATAAGTTAGAAAATAGGAAGGCCGACATATATAAAATGCACACATCATAAATGCATTAAATGTATTTCATTTATTGTAAGCTATAAGGTGTTGGATGGCAAAAATTTAATCCAGTTGTGTTTACATGAAAAAAACATTCCATCATACAACCTACGAATTAATTATCCAATAAATATAAAGAATACTTGTAAGCAATATGACTTTCAATATACACCAAGATAAATCATCGATAGACCGTTAAAACAAAATGGAAGAAAATTTCCTCGATTTTTTTTCTTCTCGTCGATACGCAAATTGTTTTTGGTAAGCAAAAGTTGTGGATGATTTTTTACTATTGTTTTAGGTCATTTTAATAAATAGATAAATGATATAATATGATGCGTATTACTGTTAATCCGTATATATACGGCTCATCAGAATGGAATACAGTGAGAAAATAATGTTACGGCATACTATAACAATCTTAAGTTTTGAATATGCAGTTTCTAAGATAATGTTCTAACACAAGCTTAATGGTCTCATCGGCGAAGTAAGTCCAACTACAAATATGCTCTTAATTATACCCGCCATCTTTATGCTACAAACCTAATTGTTTGATGTTTGAAGGATTACAGTAAAATAGCACCGCGTTAGCAATCACACGGCACATAGTATTATAGCTGCATTATATATTTTAAATTATTAATATTCATTCACAACAAGTGCATATTCTAAGCACACCATATCTTGTCAAAGAAAAAAATTTTACAGTACTCCCATTACAGTCGCACAAGGATAGCGATGTGAGAAGTATTTTTTTCAAATCTACAAATTAATAATTGTATTGACTGATTAATTGATAAATATGCAACCTGTGGCAATAATTAAATAGCTATAGTATGTAGACAAATTAATAGCACACTTTTTCATCTGTCATGTAAACGAAAGAGAAACTATAACAAGCAAGGCACGGTGTCATTTAATTGCCACCTGCATATTTGCTCCTCTGGAAGGTGATCAACAACGTATTTGGCTCATTTTTCACTACTACAATTCAAAGATATTTACAACACTGCGCCAACTTCCTCGTTTCCTGAAATACCTATATTTCTTTTAAAACACATGGACACACACACACACACACAGGAATACACACATAATATGTATATATTATATACTATGGCATATTGTAGAGAGAGAGAGAGAGAAAGACTAAAACGCACTTTTAGAAACAATGTGCTAATAACATGAAGACACCTAAAGTGCAATGTTGCCATTTTGAAAATACCCCGTCTTGGTTTAACCTTCTGTAGTACATCTGCTAAACAGAAGCCCACTTCTCGTTCCTAAAAAAAAATCAAATAAAATGTGCATAAATTATTATTCTTCGCATAAATTACTACTGGTCCTTCTATTTTAATTTATTGCATGTTATGAGGGAACATTCGATTGAAGAAATCGAGAGAATCCTATTTGTAGGAACTTATTTTCTGCATTTCCCATTTACAGGTTTGCATTATACGTGTCTCTCTTATTACTAAAATCAGAATATTAGCAATGGCTATTAAGATTCCATCATTGTGTATGAATCGATTGTGAAAAAGGTCAATGAATTGGTACCCTTACACGACACGTTAATGGTTCGAATACCCTCAATTCATTCCTCTTCGTCTGTTTTCTTGGTGTTTGTTTCCTTTTCAAAATGTTTGGAAGAATCTTCTTCTGGATTTAGTTTTGCCAAACAAGAGAAGCCTCCCGTCATCAACCGCTGGACTGAAATAAACAGTTCAAAAAGAAAAATGAACAAGATATAAACAACACTTTAGATAGACGAGGCATAAAAAAAACTTAATTTTGACACTACACTCATTTCTTTCATTATGCCCGGAAGAGTTTTAAACTATTGTAGTATACACATTGCATGTTTAAATACGTGAGTGTTGATGTGTTCCGTCCTTCTGTTAAGTTTAATATAAAGGGAAATGTGCATGTCAAGTCTATCTGATTAAATAAATATAGATGGTCGAATATAGTTCTTAATACTGTGGTTCCACTAGGTTCCACTTGACTCATCGTCAAAGAAAACAACAAAGTTGCATACTTATATCGTGAAGTTGGGTCTTCAAAACATCCAATGTGACGTCAGTGTCAAGGCCGTGGTCTAGTAACTCCATAATTTCTTTGGCTGGTTGTTGAATGCTATCCTGTAAGGAGACCACAATGTGAATACATTTTGAAAAAAATACAGACATGAGACATCCCTTTAGGCATTCCTCCTTAAAATCTTTTAACTTGTTTACATTTTTTGCTCTGAGTAAGTAAAGTTAAAGGAGGTACATGTAGCCATGCAAAAAAAAAAAAAAAAAAAAAAAAAAAAAAAAAAAAAAAAAAAGCATTGTATTTAAGACACAATCGAACAGGACAAAATCCTTATTCGTTTAATAAATCAGAAATCTTACCAGATATGTTACGACACCATCACAAGGCCCAACGTTTATCATCGTACTTCAAACAGTTTACACGTGACTGTGTGTATACTATTGCTTTCTATTCACATAAATTTCAGACATGTCACAATATGGCCTGAAGTAGCAGGTCTCAATTTAATTCAATCTATTAAACCCTTGAGCCCCACGGCTCATCAGAATGGAATACAGTGAGGAAATAATATTATTAATATAATGAATATTTTGTGGATAAGAGATTCACCAAGCTTTTATTTACTTAGATATTTTAATATCTTAAACAGTATCAAATATATAATTTAAAAAATGTCACTGTAACATAAGAATTTTGAAGCTGAGAGTAAATGATAAATTTAGTGCATTATTACAATCGACAATTATTGGCTTCAATGTCCACTTACCTTAACGAATTTCACTATCACAGCCTTTTCCATAAAAGAAACAGTGAGATCCTGGTGGTAGAGTTTGGCCACGTCCAGTGGGGTGTCGCCATCGTCGTCTGCCGCCTTTGTGTCTGCCCCTGCTTCCACTAATAGTTTCACAATTTCTCTGTTACCGTGCATACAGGCCAAGTGAAGCGGTGTCAGTTTGTACGCATCGTGGACGTCTGTGTCAGCTCCAAGCTCCAGAAGTTTCTCCACCACAGCGGGGTGTTGTTCTAGAACGGCGTGGTGGAGCGGGGTTAAATCCTCTGGTGCGGCATCTTCACACTTATCGTACTTGTCAGTTATCTTCTTTACAATGTCATCGGGGGGATCTTTTCCCCATCCTGAGTACAACACCTCCCCGTAATCTGCCACATCTATACTGCCTCCTTTTGTCTTTATTAAGAAGTCCGCAAGAAGCTTCCTCTTGACCAGAACATAATGCCACGCAGGTCTTCCTCTATCCTTACCGCGGACTAAATATACCAGACTCCCTTCGTAGAGATTACCTCGTTTGTTAATCAATCCAGTATGTGTTCCCAGAATGACATTCAAACACTGTACTTGTCCACAATTTGCTGCCACGTGTGCTGAATTTTCTCCTCTGTTATTTAGAATAGTAGGGTCCATCTTATATTCATTTATCAAATACCTAACCACATCCACATGACCATCCATAGATGCTACATGCAGAGCCGTGTTCCCGTACTTGTTCTGATAATTGACATCGATTCCGTCCATTGCAGTTATATCTTTCACTAACTCGACGTGGCCGCCCCATGCGGCACACACCAGGGTATTGCTGGTCACAGGTAAACCATGGCGCCGCAGCCTGTCGTAAATGTCTCTGAAGTTACCTAACGCTGCGGCATCGAGGCACGTTAAGTCTCCCGTATTTGAATTCACACTTTTCTCGATGTCGATGTTCGGTAGATCAGTGAGGTACTCCACCACGTCATCATACCCCATCCTACAGGCACGACCCAGGGCTGTTTCACCACCATCTGTGATAGCATTCAGGTCTGCACCCATTTTGAGAAGCAGCTTAATACCATCTAGGAATCCTACACCGGCGGCATAGTGCAGCGGGGTAAAATTTTCTGAATCAGTAATATTTACTAAGTTATAGTCATGAGTGCAGATTTCTTCTACCTCAACAAGATTTCGACTCCTAACAATCTTGTGAATTGGTTTCATTTCACTCTCACTTTTTTCTAATGAATCAATTCGGTCTGCCACAATCTTGTGATGTTTCTTTACAGCTATCTCTTTGGCAGTACAACCTTCCAGCTCACCAGGGTGAGTGCCGCTTGTGACCTGCGTGGAAAGTGTGGCCCAATCAAAATGTCTCCATATTGTGACAACTGCACGTAAGTTATTGTGAAACGCTGCAGTATGTAGGGCATTGAATCCTTTTTCATCCCTGTGCTCCAGGACTTTTTTTCTGTCCACCTGTCGGGCTATTCTATCTAGCTTGTACCTAAGCTTTGGCCGTGCGATGGCGGAATACAGTCGGTGTAACGGATCCTGTATCATTGATATGTTTTCGGTGTTTTCTGCCGAAATAAAGAAATGTTGTTAAATATCTTTGTGCTATAAATACAAATTTAGATGTGCATCGCTACTTATCAAGAGCGGATACAGGATTATGTTAAGGGCCACCCCCTCCCCCCTCCCGCCTTTGGCGTGGGCTACGGGGCCCATTGAATTGCCCCGAAAAAAATTGCCAATCAAGAGGGCGAACGGTGCCATTTGGTGTAACGGTGCCATTTGGTGTTGTTTAGAACTATGATCCAGCTAGCCAAAATTCTAATATCAAGAAATCGAAAGGGGGGGGGGGGGGAAGGACCCCCCTGAGCCCCTTTAAATCCGCCACTGCTAATCCAACTACGAACTTAATAACATGAAATGTCTCTGTTAGATAAAGGATATTTAGTAGGAAGAGGCTGTTTTGGTACATTCTATGCACATTGTTTGGCTATCAGTGTTAATGTGGATCAGAGAGTGTCGTTTCTCCCCTGTTGGAAAGAGACAGGGCGGGTTCCTGTATCTGTCGATGAATGTGACAATTCTTACCTTGCACCGACATAACAACCTGCGCATTATCTCCATCCCTCGTATAATCTGCCTGAAGAAAGTTGCTGTCTCCTATGTGAATGTTTTGACTTTGGTTGATGCTAATAGTTGGGCTAGTTAGTTTACTTGGCACTGCAAAATAGCATTAACTCAGATTACAATGTGAAATTAAACTTTGTTAAATCTTGGAAGTAAACAGCTTCATTGAAGTGATTAACGTTAACGTTTTAGACTGTTTGTTCTTGTTATTTTATCGTACCTTCTTCCGGAGCCCATGATTCTTGTCTGGTCAGATTGAGGATCATCAGTTCTAAAACATCTCTTTTCTTAGCTATGCCATGAAGAACGTCTTCTTTGGTTATCCTAGCTCCTTCTCTTTCCAGCACGACAGAGAGCTGGTCATCTTGTCCAAAACCTGACAGGGTATCAAATTTTAATGCAGCATTCCGATCTCATTCACCCGATAAAATTAATAGAATCTACTACACCTATATGTAGGTAGCCTATATGTTGTTGTCTTCATGTCTTTTAATTTTTTGGCTCATTAATATGTGAATTTCCCAACATCTACAGATACACACACACACACACACACACACACACACACAAAGACGCATGCACGTACACGCACACACATTTTTTTATGCGCAGTCTATTAATATCAATGCTTTTCCTGACTATTTTGTAGTTCAGTAATTTGTATGTCTTAAAAGGCTTAGGCTTACCCAAAAGTTCCCTGGCGTCTTGTAGCAGCTCATCCATTGTTGTTAACATGCATGTTTCCCTCTTCTGACGGTCACATGAGTAGATGATACAGGTGTTGTCCATCTCTGTGGTTAAATAACATTATATTAATATACTTATCTTCCTATACATGTATCAGTAGTCCTTAACAAAGTAATGCTACATTACTACAATATATCATACATACACTGTGTTACTTCTTCATAGTACAATATCATCGATATACGGGTAGTTTTACCGTTAGCTCTACTTTTACCCCCCCCCCCCCCCTTAGCAATTACTACCACACTGGTAGAGCTATAATATGAAAAAGGGTAAAAAGCAATGGTAAAAACTGTCCTTATTTTCATGAAGTGTCGATTAAAATAGTTTATCCGATCCAATCTTTGATTTTCTAAAGAACAAGAATTACATGTAGAACAACATAATGACGGGTGAACATACATGTAGAACACTGCCTATGCTGAACGAATTTAATGACTTAGTATTTCCTGACCATAAAGTGACCATAAATAAAGCAGAGACCTCTATTGAATGTATATTGATAACACAGGGTCAAACATCAAAAAACAAATATGTCATGTTGACTTTTAGGGGGGGATTTGCACCATTATGTTAATAAAAATTGCAACTACCACCAACTTAAATCTGTTACATAATTATTTAAGTTATAGAATGCCATTGATTTCTAATGCACGGTTCATTACTGTCATCACATTTAAAATTTGTGACACTTATGTCTGTTACTTAAACAGAAAATTAGAAAGTGTTGATTGCCAACTTATCAATATACAAAGTGAGAGCGTTTTATATTATACCCGAGGTGTTTTTGACACATGCCTTTCTGAACTTCCTTATGGACCTGTTCCTCTCTACGTGACATTGTTGGTTCAGAGCATTCTACTGCAATCCTATGACCTGTGTTTTTTAATAGCGTCTATGCGACTTAAGGGGGGGGGGGTGAGTTGTCGCACATGCCCTACTCTACCCCGACAGGTATTTTTTCTTATTGATTGTCAAATGCTTGACGTCACTGTATTGTGTTTGTTTACTTGTCAACTCACAGCTGGGAAAGCGCAAAATGTCCTAAATGAGGTCAGACATAGTATGACTGATTTATTATTTGCTCCTATTCAATAACCTGAGCCAGGCCTTTTTTTAATACCTAGTTGACTTTAAAGTAGTAGTTCAGCTCGCTCTCTCTCTCTCTCTCTCTCTCTCTCTTACACACAAAGAGAGAGAGAGAAAAAAAACTTTTATATTCGCCTATAATTGAGCTGTTCAACTCATCAGCCACGCGGATTAGAAGGCCTGAGGGGTTACTAAATTTACCAGTCAGATAATTAAAGCTATAGATAATTGAAAGTTATTCTAGTCTCCACAGGATCCACTTCTCAAAAAATGATTTTCAAAAGTCTAGCTGATTTTTCGAATTTAAATCTATCTGTTAAGTTGCTTAAGTTACATGTAGTTGCTTGCAGGGTTTAGTCCATATAATGGATAATATAGACGGCTACTCTCTGATATCTGGGGCCTCTGAAATAGTACACAAACTACTATAGGGTCCTGTGGTCAGAGAGTACTAGACTAACTAGAAAGAAAGTTAAAACAACTTACTTAATACAGTAGACGAGGCCAATTTAACTCCGATATGTTGGCATAGGGATGAGGAATTGCTGTTTTTCCCGTTATACTATTTGATGGGAAGAGTGGGGGAGGCAAGTGGTAGACGGTACTTCAAAAATAAGAAAAAAACACATTCTCTGAATTTGAACATACAGGTTTAACCAAAAATCAATAAATGTACTGGTCCACCGGCAGTTCTGACAGTAACTGCGATGTAACGAAAACGAGTGTTCGTGTAACGGAAATTAATCCCCCATTTAGTTATAATAGTTCGGGTAAGCATGACCTAAAGCGCCCTTTACACTAGACGGCGTCCTTTCTGCGTCCAGCAGTACGGCCCCATTTGAGAGTTAAAAAAATATAATATTTTACGTGCCGACAACTGGCTGATCATTGAACATTCATTCTGATACAAAATCAATGCTCGTGCCTCCTTATTAAGACCACAGCAATGCCAAATTTCATGGGCGCAGAAAGGACGCAGAAAGGACGCCGTCCAGTGTAAAGGGGGTATAAGTGAGTCAAAACTTGGGGCGAGGTTTAACTGTACAAATGAATGGGAAGAGAAGTCTCTGTCATGGGGGACTCTGTCACGTTACACTGAACCCTACAAGAGGGGAGGTAAGGGGCTGAGAGCTCTGAGTATTACTAACCCTTTTCTTTCACCATACTGAAGATCATAAACTGTGCGTGGACAGTTAAAAATCTTTTCAATAATAAATAATCAGTATAATGATTATATTTCAATTATGAATTGAGACCCCGAGAAGAGTGACAGGCATTATAAATTTTATTAACCCATTTTTGGCGCGTACGAATTTAAGTGCAGTGCGAATATTCTAAAACTGTACATGTATGTACAACCAAGAACTATGACTGAGGAAAATTATTCTGTGCAGGGGGCGGGGGCAGGTATTCAAGGCATACTATACATGGAAACATGCCATTTGTACCCCCTGTACTCACCAAGACGATAACTAAACCTTGAATTAATTTTGTTGGAGCTGGAAGAATAGAAGAGGCTAACGTGGCTAACGTTCGATCAGGAATCAAGATTAAGCCTGTCCCCAAGTAAATTAGCCCTTTTATTTACCATACGTTCGGGCGTGAAGTGGTGTACTTATCTGGGTTTTATTGTAAGCTGATAAAAATGAAAAATACACTCATAATTTATACAAGGAATTTTAGTTTATTGTATTTTACACTTCTACATGTATCCATCGAGGAGTTACATGTACCCCTTTCAGGCCCGTAGCCAGGGGGGGTTCGGGGGTTCGAAAGAACCGCCCTTTTGCTAGAAAAAGGTCTACTCTGGGTAAAATTTGAACTAGATGCATGAAGTTTTTATGTGAAAGGTCCACTTTTTTAGAAAAAGAACCCCCCTTTTGAAATTGCTGGCTACGGGCCTGCCTTTGCTCTAATCGATGTATTGGTTTATCTAATTATAAAAAATAAACTGTTGTCAGCCAATAAAGCATTTTCCATTCCCAGCATAAGATGTGTTGCCATTGTATCTTATAGCTTATCACCCATGTCAAAATGTTTTAGGGATAATTCATTATATAGGCCAATAGATCCAATGAAATTACAAAGACTTAAAATATTAAAAGTAATATTTTTCATTATTTCACAAAAATTATTTAGATGCTTAAAAAAGATAGTGATGGCACATTTCTTGATTTCTCTATTATGCTACAGGCAATTTTACTTAAAATAAAAACGCATATAGAGTTGGAAACATAATCGGTTTGGTTATTATCCTCACTAAATGGTATCATGTCTACCCTGAAGCTTATTACCCATGTTTATATATATTTTGGGGGATTTCATCATACAGATTAAGGCCCCGGTCTGAAGCTGATAAATGATAGTTAAAGTGATAGCAACTGTTCATTTTGACCAAAAAATGAATTATCCTGTGGTAAACAATTTTCTCATACTTACCAATGGTTAATGAATTCATGTCTACATTCAAAGTTAGTTCCTGATTAAAAAAAGTTCTTTTTTTCTTTTTTTTTTCAATTAAGAGATAAAGAGATTATAACAGAGTATAGTCGTCTATGGAGGTAATACGATCCAATTGGCAAGCACAAATTTTAGAATAATTGCTTAAATTGCCGTTTTTATGGTAAAATAGAATATATTATATTTCTATGAGTTGTTAAAAATGATTTTATTGTGGCATATACACCTCATACAAAGAGTTATTATCCCTTTAATTACCCCATAGCAGCTTCATTAGGCGTGCCAGACATCAGAGACGCTTAAGCTGAGTGCAATAGGTCGATCCTGCTAGACCGATCTTGGTATGGGAATGGGGTCTAAGTGTCAGCGATCCATTTAGATAAAGAATACTTGCAATTAATACTAGTAAGGCTTTCATAATGTACAATGAAGGACTTTAATTCATATAACCAAAGAAAGATAGTGACGAGAAGGTCCTTAAATGTGTTTCTTCTGGTGAATATAAAAATTATTAATAAGCCTATATTTTTTTCGCTATTATGCTATCCATGTAAGCATTTTCATATAAAAATTGTAACTTTTACAATAGTCATATAATCAATTTTGTTATTATCCGTGTTTGTCGAATATAGAACCAATATTTTGGGACATATTGTAAAAAATTTGTCTAAAATTCCAAACGTAGCCTACAACTTCAATTCAATTCTAGAAATGGCTGCCCCAACAAAAGTCTCAGCAAAAGATGAGAAATTCTACTCACCAGTGATATAAATAAAAGTGCAGGTCACATTTTTAAGATACCGTACTTTTTAACTGGTTATTCAAAAAACCTTACGCTGCAATGCATGTAGGATTACACTTTATCTCTGCAAGGCTATTATCTGTCATAACACTTGGGATGCATTACATGCCTATGTTTCGTAGAAAAAACATTCACGAAAAGGTCGTAACAAATCAACACAAAATCTTGACTCAAATACACACATTGATAATAATAATAATAATAATAATAATAATAATAATAATAATAATAATAATAATAATGATACATTCCTAATAAATTAAACAGGAGAGTGTTATTTAACGAATTTAAGTCTACAAATTTAGAACTACCTTGAAATGTGTTGTCTGCGGCGATTTTTAAATTTGCGTAGCTACACATTCACGAATAAAAAAAAAAACAAACACTCAGACACATCAAAACTAAGCAATCAAGGTCATACATGTAACTATTGTTTAAGTCCTTTAAATGTTATCTTTGTGTGAAAGGCATTTTTGCACCTTTGGCATCGACGAAGTACCTTGATCTCAAAATTATTTTCGATAAATATACACCCAAAACTAGCTGCTGGCCATATATAGAGTTGTGTAAACCGAGTACAACACAGATATGATTGTATGCACATGTATTATTTCTATTTACCGGTACAACACGGCGTCAACATGGTTTTTAGACATACACCCTGTACCGATTTTTTAGTTTTCACACACACACACACACACACACACACACACTGTGCGATCTAATGACCTGTGTTCTTTGAAATTGCGTCTATGTCCCACGAAATGGTGAATTTGCCTATCAAGCGAGTTCGTTGTCGTGGAGAATTTTTCTTCCTAAGCAATTGTCATTGATGCAGAAACTATTCATCTCTCTTAAATTAAATTTATACCAAAATACACTGTACTTGTCTGACAATAAAAACAATGTTTTGTAAATCGTACTTGGATAACGTTGCCACTTGGAGAATGCCATTTACTATATATATTATTTTAATATTTTAACGCGACCACTCGATTTATAAACACTCATACCTTTGTAAACTTTTTCAAGACCTGTTCTTCTCTGTGTGCTACAGCTGGTCAGATCAGTATACTGCAATCATCTGATCTGTGTTCTTTAGAAAAGGCGGGCGTCTCGGCGACACAAAATGGCGCCTTTCTTTGCCTTGGCGGGAATTTTTCTACCTCAGCTTTCTATATTGACGAGATAAGTCAATCGCTGCCAAGTATATCTCACTATCTGAGCAACCGATCGTTACAAAAGTTGCACCTATTGTTGTTGGGAATGTGGACTACAGCATAATGTCAGGGGTTTAAGAGGAAACTGTTTGTTTGAAAGTTATCGTCTTTTGAAGTGAATAACCCATTGAAATATGGGGTAATTTAACGTAAAAGATGATAAAATCAAAAGTAAATAGTTTAAGACAATTCCCTGGTACCGCACTGAAGTGTTTTCACCCAGCTTTATGAGGCATTTTGAATCACTTGAATAGCTGTCTTGGTTATAGAGAAAATCCCAATTCTGAAAACGGCATTTTCCCCCTAAAATTGGCGCTATATAGCGTCATCTGTTGGACACTGTACTTAATCTCCGCCTTTAATTGGCCTTTTGGGAAGTTTGTTTTAATTTTTTATAACAACTTATAAGCCCAGGGATTTGTTTCTATGCTTTTGGTCCTTTTACTATTATTAAACCCTAAGAGAAGGTGCCCCGGCAACACAAATGCCGCATAACCTGTAGCCAATCATGTGATCGCTCAAGCCTGTCTTTGCTTGACGGGAATTTTTCTACCTCATTCGTTGTTTAGTGTTTTGCGTCACTGTATGATCTTACCTGTCAGCTCGCGGGGAATGCACAATATGACCCCGTTGAGGTCAGACATTTTTTTTTTTTTGCTCCTTTCAATCAATTGGAGCCAAGTATTTTAGATTTATTAACTTAACGGTGATAAAGTCTCTCTCTTTCTCTCGTATAGCTTTACTATACTAGTCCAAAGCTTGCCTCAGTTTTCGGCTTTACGACAGGTATTTTTCTTTTCAAATGCCAAATATTTGACTCCATTTTTTTAAATTGTAAGCGCACAGGGAATGTACACAATTAACTGTGACAGCGTTTATTATTTTGCTCCAATTCACAATTGTGAGATCCCGTCTTTCAGACACAAGTGACTTTTAAGCAAAGCAAGACTTTTATGGCACCCCGCCTTTCTCGCTATTCCCAAACTCCCCCCAACCACACACACATACATGTACATATCCATGTAGTTTTACAGGCAGTACAATACTAATTCGAAGTCACGTCATCTACGCTTTCATGTAAATGCATCAGCCTGTCAGTTGCCTTGGACAATGGCACACGTAGCAGACTAGTTCTGGACAGGTCGAGGCACTGTCTTGGTACATATTAAGTGAATTAGTCTTCAGAGGATTAAATGGAAGACTAAGCCATATTGACTATAATATGTAGGGTACGTCGCTGAACATCGCTGTTTGTCTTTATTTGTATGAAATATAACCGTAATTTTATTTTTTATTCATTTTAGGGGGTGTGGGATGGGGGGTAGAGGACGGGAGAAGGGGGGTATTTCAGAAGCTAGATGTGAGGCGCGTGCCCCCAAGTGCCGCCCTCAGGTCCGACATTACTGCTTAATTGTATAAACGTTGCAGAAACTTGAACACATTATGGACCGGAGAGACAGGAGTGGTAGTACTAGGAATTAAAGTCCGGGGCCCCCAATACGGTTAGTACAGGTAAGGCGAAGCCCGATAATATCTAGGTCAGTATATGGGACGAGTGTACAAAGAAATGGAAAACTGAACACGATTATTAGAAAATTATTATTCCAGTCTGATCGGTTTAACAGGAATGGAAGTCCAGGCTCCCGTATGATTATATACATGTATAGGGCTATTTGGAGTATTGGGGTTAGTATATGGGACGAATGTCACCTGTACAAATAAATGGGAAGTGGACTACGGTTCCTAGCATTGTTTTTATTAAAATGATGCTTTTTTGATAATGAAGCACTGTTTAAAATGTAACTTTTGAGTGGAACAATTAGCCTAAGTCTCTGTCACACAAACTATTTATTTATTTATTTATTTATTTTACTTAAGAAGGCCCCTCATCCCCCTCCCAACTTGCCTTTTAATTTTAAAGTAAAATTGCCTGTGTCATAATAGAGAAATCAAGGGTCTGAAAACCAGTCGGCCATGTAGATTTTTTGAGTCAGACAAGTCGAGTTGCAAACCTATTTGCCCGCCAAGCAAGTGACTCCAAAGGTGTATTTTTTTAGGACATGGACTCATATAACATATTTTATTAGTCCCAGCTTAAATACATATTTAAGTGTCAGAATAGTCCTGTGAACTTGTTACGAGAGAGAGAGAGAGAGAGAGAGAGAGATACTTACACGAAGGGCCTGTCTCCAGTGTGTTTCCTCATGTGTGTAACATATAGATATGGTAACAAGCGTCTGACATGTGCAGAGAAGTTTATTGTAATATATATTGTTCTTATTGTTACATTATTAAATCTGACTCTGTATCCAAGTAGTCACTATACTGTACCAAGTCAGGTACTGATGATGTGCAGAGGTCATATATTGCAGAATAAGCCATTACCACTAATTTATAACTTTAATTTTGTTTAATATTCATGAAAGAGTTCATGAAAGATTATTTTAATTTGTTAAATCGTGATCTTATTCTTTTTATATTCAAATAATTGAATAATGTGGGTAAAATTGGTCTTCCACTTCTTATTTGCATTTTTCTTTACTACAAGATTATTTTGGAACAGTTGCAGCATTAAAATTTAAAATAAATAGCAATCTGAAAGAAGAATTTTGCATTATTATTAAATGATGATAGGAATTTTGGATTAAGAGATTAGTTTAATACTGAGTAGTTATATTGTCAGTCAATTTATGTAGAATCTGATAATATGATTGAAAATACTGATTGAATTCTTGACCTTGCACTGGGCAGTTTAACATTTGTGCCAAGTGCTTTTTTTGGACTCCATTGTACAGTGGTAAAAGTTCTTCAATTGCCATGAAAGTTTTAAATCAGACTCTGTATAGTGCTGCTATCTGCTGGTGCTATCGGCAACGAATTAGTTTGCCTTTGTTTCTGAGTGAATCTACCGTCTAAAATCACTATTTCTGAAAATATGTGCGTTTTGCTGAGGGTAGGCCAGGCAATACACGGCAAACTTCTTAGTACGTGTGTACAACAGAATTTTTTTAAAAACCCTAGCGATATTTGGTCAAGAGTTCCTTGAAGTATAGCACAGCGTTGCTGTCTATCGGCATCAGGCCGTTAGTTTGTCAATTATCACGAATTACCCACGAATTCATTTTCCTATGGCAATCCAGCATCTCATTAAAAGTGCACGCATGCGCAGTGGGCTAAGCGTGACGTCATGCATACTGCATCGCGCATACTGCAGCAAGCTAATCCGTTCCATTTTCCAGACGGCCAGATACTTTTCACGCAAGTCTTCCTTGCCTCTATTTCCAGACTATCTATATGTACGTGTGTTTAGCATGGCTTTTTAAGATACTGAATGCAATCGTTACACTATGTCTACAATATATATATCACCACCGATATTCTGTCGCGACATTCCTGGGTAAAACTTGTTAAATCATAAGCCTGATTTCTAACGAGTGATTCATTAGTTACATGACATTTAAAACATGTGGCACTCACACCTTTCATTTTGATAGCAAGTTGGAGAGTGTTGATTTCCGACTTAATAATGCACGGTGTGAAAGCGTTTCATTGTACCCCAGTAAAATCGCGAGATTTGCGACAGGCCTACCTGTAACTTGTGAACGTCCCTTTATACCTGTCCTCTCTGAATACTTGTGATGGTTCAGATGGCTCTACCGCGATCCGATGATCAGGATCCTCCAAATTTATTCTTCTAAAATTGTGTCTCGGGAAAGCAAAATGGCGGATTGGCTTATATGATGAATATGTTCTTCCGCATACCTTCTTCTATCCAGACAGGTACTTTTTTTGAATCTACACTGTATTGTTAAGTGCTTGACGTCACTGTATTATATTTACCTGCCAATACCTGTGGAATGCGCAGTGTCCTAGTTGAGGTCAGATATAGTGTGGCTGATATGTCTCCTATTCAATAAACTGACGCCTCGTTTTTCAGACTTAAAAGTAATGGTGCACTTCCCACCTATCTTTATCTCTCTCTCTCTCTCAATCTCTCACTCTCTCATTCCTCCACCCCCCCCACCCCCCCCACACACACACACAGAGACACACACAGCCACACAGAGAAAAAAATTAACGGTTATTATGAGGAATGTTTATGTGCGTCTGTATTAACTTTTCGGTCCATCGGTCATGCAGATTATTTGACTTAAAAGTTATTTTTTTCCAATTTTTCTTTCTCTCCCTTATTCTCTCTCTCTCACACAAACACACACACACACACACACACCAAAACACACGCGCGCAGAAAGAGGAAAGGAGAGATAGTTAAATAGGTGAGTTAAATAGGTATAGAGTGAGGACTTGCTTTAATCTACGACAACATCTTCTCAGTACATCAGTTCCGCAGATTAGAGGCCTCGAAATTTACTGGTTCGATTCAAATGTTTACTGGTCAGACAATATATTTTTTGTAGGAAATGTAAAGTTGTAAGAGCCTCCAAAGGGACCACTTTTCCAATCGGACTAATAGCTCTGAAAATTCTAGTTGACTCCAGCGGTTCGAAGTTTGGTATAAATACCGGTAGATATTAGTAAACGTACTTTATGGTATTTTAATAATTAAAAATCCCCTGATAAAACAGCTTGAGGCCAATTTCATGGATAACGAATTGCTTGGTTTTGTTTGATTTTCCATCTTATACTATTTGGTGGGGGAGTGAGAAGGAGAGGCAGGCACGGTACATCTTTTGAAGATAAGGGGAAACGTGATCTTAAAGTCCGAAATTGAGTAGCTAGAGTAGCACTAAAAAACAATAATGATAAAACATAATTTTTATAAAATTTGAAAAAAATAAATAAAAACCAGCAGATCTACCAGTTGCTGCTACATGACGGAGGGGGGGGGGGGGGGGGGGGGGGCTGAATCTGTGGAGTATGATCAACCCCCTTATCGGCTCTGAAGGCAATTAACTATATGTTTGCTTGAACAAAGAATAATACATGGTTTTGCAATATCTATCTATCTATCTATCTATCTATATCTATATCTATATCTATATATATATATATATATTTTTTTTTTTTTTTAAACAATAAATGTGGAAATGGATCTCACAAGAAGAATGGCTGGCATTAAAAAAATCCATTTTTGTCGCGTACGAATTTAATTGCAGTGTCAGTGCTCTAAAAGTGTATGTAAGGACGAGATCTCTTGCTGAGGAAAATGATTAGGAGCAGCTGTTCAGGGCATACAATTCAGGTACATTTGTACGTCCAGGGTTATTTGAAGGGGGTGGTTTGGAATGACTGCCCTCGGATTGCGAGGGCGGCGAAGCGTGGGGCTTGCATGGGGTACACTAAAGTGCACCGAAATCGTGGTGTTTTGAAGAGCAAACGAGGTCATTTTTTCTGGTTTTGAATTATGATTCAGCTAGTCCAAATTCTAATTCCATGAGGGAAATATTAACCACTAGAATATTTTTTCAGAAACCGAAGGAGCTGGGGGGGGGGGTCTGGCCCTCCCTGACCCCCCCTTAATCTGCCACTATACATGGAAACACGTAATTTGTGCCCCCTGTGTACTCGCCGTTACATACGTTTGATGAGCTGGATGAAAAGGAAAAGCTAGCAATTGATCAATTCAAGACCTTAAATGTACGTCTCCACATAATAAACTACATGTAGTTCTTTTATTTACCAAACACCAGGACAAGAAGTGACGTACTTATCTAGTTTTGACTATAAGCTGATATATATATATATATAAGACTACATACATAATGAAGAAATATTATTTTTGCTGTAAGTTCTGCTTTTAAAAATCAAGTTTATATTCCCTTTCTCTAAACGTATGCATAAATTGTGTTATGTTGGAAGTTAAAGTATCGGTTTCTCTATTTGTTATGAATAAATATGTTGTCAATAAACATTACCAACTTATAGTTTCAAATATAGCATTTCATATTTTCGGCATAAAAAGTGGCACTTTTTTATATCAAATAGAGTATATTACACATGTTAAGATGTTTGAAGTATAATTCATCATATAGCCGAATATCAGCGATTCAATAAAATTAAAAACGCTTACAATATTACTATTAAAACTTCTATTTACATGTGAAAAAAAATGCTGACGAACAATTCCTTAGTGTTTTTCTACTACGTAAAATACAATAATTGTAATATTTTGATATATAATGTAAAATGTAGAATTTCAAAATTACATTATAGAATCCTTGTAATATAAGTCTTAAGCTGAGACGCTGGATTTATGGGGATATATGCCAAAGCATACATGTAGGTCACCTTTTTAAAAACCCAACATATTAATTGCCTGTGCCTGTGCAACGGGTTTTATGCTATACGGTGTACATGTACGTCTTGGCTTACACTAAACTCTTGTTCTTTTCATAGTCATCACGTTAGGAAGTCGATTGTTTATAATAGCACAAACGGCCACATACAATAATCATTCACAGCAAAAATTTTGTCTTAACAAAACAACACAAAGTGTTGTCTAATATGATAATAATATTAATAAAAATAACAATAAAAAACAAATGGGGCAGTGTTATAAAACGAAATTTTCACATCTAAAAATCAATATGTTCATTCAATTCAGTAAGCATAGCTTGAATTTCACGCATTAAAAATGATATTAGAAATTAAAAATTGTTAGAGACATGTTTTAGAACGGTACGTGTCTTATAGCAGTTTTTATTCTTTTAGAGTATTCTTCACTGTCTAATTCTAAACTTAAAATTTTATGATTTTTAATTAAGCGATCTGTAACTTTACGATAAAGTCCTAATCTACCCCTTTAGTTCTCAATTTTGTCATTTTAAATCTGTAAAAAAAATAATATTTCGCTCTTAAATTGTAAAGTGCATTCCGATTTTATATAAAAATGGGCCGTATAAATACAACAACTAAAAATCTCTGGCAGATCGTCCAAGTTCTCAAAATTCTTTATGCCTAAGGTCCAAAATTACTTTTGGACCACTCATTTCTTTCAAATAAAAATACAGCATACATATATTGCATTTGCATGTATTACTTGTATTCTTAACGTGGCGTCAATGCGATTGCCTTTTGAAATACCTAATAGTGTATCATTTTTCAAACAAGTGTCCTCGCGCACAAACACACTTACACTTCTCGTACTTGTATGCAATAGCAAATTGGAGAAAAAATTAAACATTTTCACAAACAATGTTTCATATGCACGAAGTGAAAAATCGGGGTATGTGCGTGTATAGGGGGGCAAAGTGATTTCCATTTCGTCAGAAAATGAAAAAACGGCCGTTTTTCATTTTCATTTTATAGAAATGGCCGAAATGTAATGGAAAATGAAACTCAGTTTTCGTTTTTCCATTTAAAATGAAAAATGGAAAAACGGAAATTGCCTTCGTTTTTTATATTTTACTATAAAATGCAAAATACAATATCGACAGATCCCCGATGCGGTAGAAAATATAAATATCGACCGTTTTCGTTTTTTTCTAATGTTTAACAGGTGAAATAAATCATAAAATGCCCTTATATTCCTGTTTTTGAGGAAATGACAGCTTTAAAAAGTGTTCATTATTCAATTTCCGAATCAAATAGAAAAACGGAAGTCCGTTCGTTTTTCTGATTTTCATTTTATGAATGAAAATGGAGAAACGGACGTGCAGACACACAGACAGAGAAATGGCAGCCGCTTCAAGTTTATAAGTTATTGGTGACTAAATTCTGTCAGATAAAGCTTAAATGCAATGAATTAATTTTATAAATAATGCAGAATTTTGGGATATGCTGTTGACGTTGGTCTAAAACTTCCACTTAAAGGCATAACAGAAACGGAGATCCATTACAAGTGTGCACAAGAGAGTTCAACTTTGTGCAACAGACTGGTATATTGCAAACAATGCATGTGCCAGCTGTTTGTGTGCTGAAAATATATTCTAATCAGACTGTTTTAATCCTCTACCCACTGTGAATAACTTTCATGGACAATTAGGTTTTAATAAAGTATTTGATTATTATCATATTTTTGTTGTTGTTTATTGTAGATCCGCTGATTTGTAGATAATAGGCCTATAGGCCTACCATTTAGCTTCAACGGCACGATTTAAAACTTAAACAATTTGTCTTTGTTCTCATCCTTGATCAGTCTTACTTCTTTAAAAATCAGTCTTATTGTTTAATGATTTATTGCAGCGCGTGTTTCCTCTTATTTGAAAGTTTGGTCAGAAAATGCTGATCAGTTATCTACGGTCAAAGGGCCGAAAGGGAGTAGGAGGGCTATCTGTAAGATAGAACCAAAATTATTATCGTCTATCCTAGCTGTAAGCAAATTTTTAAGAGAGAAAAACCCACCAAAACGGTTTTCAAAGGCCAGAAAGGCGTCAGGAACATTTTATGATTAAGGGGGGGGGGTAGGTTAGTTATTTTATTCCTGTCATATTCATTTAATGTACCTTCAAAACATCTAATTATGCTTGAAACACAGCTACGGGCTAGGAAGTCAAGAGCTTATTAGATAATATACTCAGTACTCATTCACTCCTTCAGAAGATCGATACAGTTTAATTTATTCCTGGTACAGCTGTATATCAAATCCATATCTTGATGTCCCATTTTATTTCATTCATTTAATTTTTTACTCTTCTATTATTCTCAATTATTTCTTTTAAGGTTGGTGAACATTTTAAGTGGAGAAATTTATGGGGGTATTAGGGGATCCTGACCCCACCTTCGATTTCTGAAAAATATCACACCAATGATCCCCTCTTGAAATTAGAATTTTGACCAGCTGAATCATAGTTCTCAACCATACCAAATGGTACTCTCTAAAATAAATACCAATATTTTTCGGAGCCCTTCAGCGGGCCCCGAAACCCACGCCAAGGAGGGGGGGTGAGGGTCGGCTTCCCATCCAAGATCTGTCTTTTGAACATCTTTATTTTCTTGAAAGGTTAAATATTAAAATATTACAATGACACGCTTACCCGCGGACTTCCCCCCCCCTGTATTTGTTACTTGATTAGTTGCTGGTTTGTACAGTAACAGCAGTAAAAACTGAAACAAGAGAGAAATCTTGCACTTATTTTTCCTTCTATGTACAGCTTATTTTTATCAACACGACGAATATTTGAGATTGTCCGACCCAACGCTCGTATTGCAGTAAAAAAAGAGAGTCAAACTCAAGATGCAAATGTGTGAATTTTTATAAAATAAAATACCCCCCCCCCCCCCAAGGTTGCATTAAAATGTTTAGGAAGAGGAAATGCATAATATGTTTATTAGTTTGTGATTACGTACATGAGATAATAAAGCAAATGCATTGCGCAAAGGGCCCTGTAGGTTTGTAAAAACTAACTCAATAACCTCTTTGACTAAGGTACAATAACATTCAACAGCAACAAGACGCAGTGGTGCAAAGATTCTAACAAACATTTTATTAATTTATCCAGTGAGAACCACAGAAACACAAAATTTTTGCAGTTACATAACTGCTTTGCCCAGTCGCACGCACCAGTAGGCTACTTAGTTAAAAGAACATCAATTGAGGCTATACCAGCACTACAGTCCATGCGACTTAATAAACATTCAAATATTTCACTCATGATAAAAATTTCTACTTTCTATCAAAATCTTGTCACAAAAAGTCCTTACAGAAACAGATCCAACCTTCATTTCTTCTCCACTAAGACCTAGGCACTAACCTAGGGGCCTATTTCATATTTCTAAACCACACACAGCGATGGTGCATTGTTTATCCATAATTGTCCACAGTTTTTAGAATTTCTGAAATTCCTTAATTCATTTTTCTTAAAGTTATTTACTAAATCTCCGAATACTTATACAAAACCAGGAATACTCCTAGTCTTGTGAAGTCAAAGTTTCAAGGACTGCCATTTTTCTGTCTGTATGTCTTTATATACTTCCGTTTTCCAATTTTTATTTCCAAAATGAAAATCAGAAAAACGAACTGACTTCCGTTTTTCCATTGAAACCATAATGGCAAAAAATGAACATGCTTCGATACTTCATTTCTTCACAGAAGGAGAAAAGGACGTATTTTCTAATATATTTCACTCTCTTGACATGGGAAAACAGTGGATGTTTCTATTTTCTATCACGTTTGGAAATCTGTCGTTTTTTGTTTTTTTTTATGTCATAAAAAAGCGGAAAAACGAAAAATAATCTCGTTTTTCCATTTTTCATTTTAAAAGGAAAAACGAAAATCAAGGTTGATTTTCCATTTCATTTTGACAATTTATCAAATGAAAAGGAAAAACGGCCGTTTTTTCATTTTCTGACGAAATGGAAATCACTTTGCCCCCCCATACACCGACCTGCTTGGTTAATGGCCACGTATTGGAAACATCGTTTTGACTTGCCACTTTGAAGAGGCGTACGCTCACGGTTCCTGAAATGTACATAAAAATCCAAGAATTATGAAAATTATAATTAAAATTACATAATTTTAATAATGTTGGACTGTTATGCCGTGTGATGTATGATATCATTTAAAGTCAGTCCCAAACTACCTAGTTTTTGGATGAAACTCACTGATCCCCGATTTCCAGGTATACGTCCTAAAAATGCAGTGATGATATTCTTTGACCTTTATTGTACAAGCTTACACATTTCCTAAATTTTCTATTTACACGTTTAAACTGAAGGTCACATTTGCCAAACTTTGTAGAAGAAACATATTTCTTTGTAGCAAAAGTATTTTTAAATATTAAAATATTAAAATATGATAAGAAGATAAACAATGTATCATATTTAATTCTTCTGCTGTAAGGAATAACTTTTGTTAGGAAAGGGTAAAAATGTGAATAAGAAAATTGGAATATCGGTTTTTTGTTTTTTCCGATTTAGTTTTGGTGTGAGACTGGCTGGTGAATTGGGACCCTTACATGGCATGTTGATTTATTCCTCTTCCTTTGTTATATTGGTAGCAGCATCCCCCTCAAAATGTTTGGAAAAATACGGTTCTTTTTGGGGATTTAACTCTGCCAAGCATGTGAACCCTCCCGTCGTCAATTGTAGAACTGAAACAGTGACCAAAGTTCCCTTGGGTCATTCAAAAAGAAGAGCGTGGGAGAGAAACATTTATCTATAATGAACAGCATATAAATTTTTACTTAAATATACATTTAAGTTCAGATATATAAATATGGTCGAAATAAGCTCTACTCTGTTTAGTTACTAAACTTTACAAATTATGTAAATAGGAAAATTGCTGTTCTACAAAGACGGCGATAAAGTTGTATACTTATGTCGTGAAACTGTGTCTTCAAGGCATCAACTGTAATATCAGAGTCAAGACTATTTTCCATTAAATGCTCCATTTTCTTGACTGGTTTTTGAATGTTATCCTGAAAGAAGAACTCAATAAAAATCAACATTCAAGACATATCCAAAGTTGCTTAGGGCACTCTGCTCAATAACAATATCCTTCAACGTACAGTATTTTCCAGAGTTACAGTTGAGATAAGTAATATTTTGTGGAAAAGACCCCCTTCTGATCATTACAGGATCTTAAATAGTAGTAACTATAATTCAAAACAACGACCCTACTACGTCAAAAAATATTTTCAAGGACAGTGTAAAATTAAAAAGTACCGGATTACTGTTTGTAAATTTAAAAAAATGTGCATTATTGCTATCGACAAATTCAAGTTATATTTCATTATTTCCAATTCTTCACTCACTCTAACGAATTTCACTATATCAGTCTTCTCCAAGAAAGCAACAGTGTGATCATGGTGGTTGAGTTTTGCCACGTCCAGTGGGGTGTCACCATCGTCGTCTGCCGCCTTGGTGTCCGCCCCTGCTTCCACCAGTAGTTTCACAATTTTTCTGTTACCTCGCATACAGGCCAAGTGCAGCGGCGTCAGTTTGTACGCATCGCGGACGTCTGTGTCAGCTCCAAGCTCCAGAAGTTTCTCCACCGCAGCGGGGTGTTGTTCTAGAACGGCGTGGTGGAGCGGGGTTAGATCCTCTATAGCGGAATCTGCGCACGTTTGATACGTCTCTTGGAACCTCTTTCTAACGTCATCAGGGGGATCTTTTCCCCATCCTGAGTGCAACACCTCCCCGTAATCTGCCACATCTAAACTTCCTCCACTTGTTTTCACTATAAAAACCGAAAGGAGCTTCCTCTTGACCAGAACATAATGCCAGACAGGTCTTTCTCTATCATTACCGCGGACTAAATAAATCTGCCTCACTTCGTAGAGATTACCTCGTTTGTTCATCAATCCAGTATGTGTTCTCAGAATGGCATCCAAACAGTGCACCTGTCCACTGCTTGATGCCAGGTGTGCTGAATTTTCTCCTCTGTCATTTAGAATAGTTGGGTCCACCTTATGTCCATCTATCAAACACTTAACCACATCTACATGACCATCCCTAGATGCTAAATGCAAAGCGGTGTTCCCTTGCTTGTTCTGATAATTGACATCGATTCCGTCCATTGCTGCTATTTCATTCACTAACTCGACGTGACCCCCCTGTGCGGCACACACCAGGGTATTGATAGTCACAGGTAAACCATGGCGCTGCAGCCTGTCGTATATGCCTCTGAAGTTACCTAACGCTGCCACATCAAGACATGATGCGCCTGCCAAATCTGAATACACATTTTTCTTGATGTCGATATTCGGTAGATCAGTGAGGTACTCCACCACGTCATCGTATCCCATCCTGCTGGCACGACCCAAGGCTGTTTCACCATACTCTGTGACAGCATTCAGGTCTGCACCCATTTTGAGAAGCAGCTTCACGCCATCTAGGAATCCTACACCGGCAGCAACGTGCAGTGGTGTAAAATTGCTAGGCCCAGCTATATTAACCATAGTATGGTCACGACTGCAGAGATCTTTTAATTCATCAATACGTTGACTCCTAACGACCTTGTGAATTGGTTTCATTTCGGTTTCACTTTCTTCCTGTGAATCAATTTGGTTTTCTACGCCCTTGTGATGCTTCTTTACAGCTATCTCTTTGGCAGTACAACCTTCCAGCTCATCAGGGTGAGTGCCGCTTGTGACCTGCGTGGAAAGTGTTGCCCAATCAAAATGTCTGAATATTGTGACAACTGCATTCACGTTATTGTGAAACGCTGCGGCATGTAGAACATTAAATCCATTTTCATTCCTGTACTCAAGTACTTTGTTTCTGTCCACCTGGCGGGCAGTACTATCTAGCTGGTATACAATCTTAGGCCGTGCGATGAGTGCATACAGTCGACGTAACGGATCAGGTATCTTCGAAATATCTTCCGTTTCTTCAGCTAAAATGAAGAGACGTTGTCTTTAATGTAAACTGTCTTCTTTGTAATAAATACAAACATTTGACACAAGTGGTCTTATGTCATACGCTTTGTCTGTCATAATAAAAACACTAGCATATGCGGGCATTTTACGAATTTACCACTTTCTTTGCTATAGACATTTTCATCTTTTCGGGTAATGGAAATTGTGGGTAGGGGAGTCCTGCTATGTCGAAACACTTACAGCGGTGCTAAAAACCATGGCTGAGTTTACGTGCTTTTTGTCCCGCTGCTACAGTAACAGTAAGCGAGATCGACACATGAGGTTTTATAAGTTCCCAACAAACCCGTTCGAATGAAAAATATGGTAGAAAGAAAGAAAATATAGCAGGTTTGGATCAAAAGCAGGGCACCGCGTTTGCGCTGAACTTTTCGAAGGCGGGAAGAAAAACTATAATATAAGGAGATCAACGGTGCTTTAATAAAAAACAGAAATGCTTAGTCAATCAACGGACATAACGAACTATCGGCAAATAGAACTCGGGGGTAAACAATGCGAGAAAAAAACATAAAGATCTGAAGAAAAAATTGAAGAATAGGGGCCTAAAAAGAAAGAAAAGACTTTAAGCATGAGATTATAGAAAAAGAAAGTAAAAGCTGTGAAGTTTGACACGGCGATTCTACTTACAAAAAAATTAAAAAAAAAAAAAACTTTCACGACCTTTTGTGTAACAACAAAGAGAAGGTTTGAAAAGTTTTGTATGTAATATGCTTTCTGTGTGTGTTTTATTGATAAGTGATCATTTTAAATGTAGTAGGCCTTTCACAGGCCCTTAGTAGGGTGGGTTCTATTTTTTTTAACGTGAGACGTTAATAAAATTTTTATTATTATGTATCCAGTCCCGTATACGTATTACTGATTTGCAAACGGGGCTCATATTATCAAGATCAACAGAGACATACGAAGAAGAAAGTACATTGGCTCTTGTTGAACGCGTTATCGGCAAAATAAAAAGTTATCTACTTCTGAACTCAGTGACAAGATAATTGTAAAATTCAATGGGCATATATTGTTATTA